AGAAAATCTATACACACATACTTGTATACATCTGTAGGTATATATGTGTGTGCATTAATTATGAAATTACTACAAATATGACTTCCCTACCTGTGGAAATTGAGTGTTTGGGGAAACCAGTCATGAGACAGCAAAGGTCACTGATCATTTTGCTGGCAAAACTTAACCCTGAGGTTGCAAATTATAGTTTTGGATTAAATTCAAATCAAGTGCTCTTGGCCTAGATTAAGCCTTTTCGGACCAGAATACAACTCTTTCAGTTCATTCAACGAGTATCAATTGCACCTACACTATACAAGAACCAAATGAGAGCATGTGGGGTTTGCAAGTGGTGGGCCATTTGACTTCTTTTCTTTACTAGATTTCTTTATTCTGCTAGATCATGCAGAGCATTATAACAACAAATCTTTACTCACACAGGTGCTACCTTACAAAGGACCTTCACCACCTCTTACCTGGTTCACTGCAATCATCTCTTAATCGATCAACAGGTTTACATGTTCTGCCTGGCTGCCTGGGTTCAGGTGGTCTCCCCAGGCCTGCAATGAATGTCAATCTAACCTCCATCTCTCAGAATCCCAAGCTTCCCTCAAAACACAGTTCAATGGCCGCTTCCTATGAGAATCTTTTCTGATTTACAGCTTTTAGGGCTTTCTCCCTCCTGAATTTATCAAAAAAGGCTAATCATTTGCCACCCAAATCTCCTCACACATGCCAAATAAACTGTCATTTTCTCCAACAGAGTCTAGGCAAACAGACAGACAGACACACACACACACACACACACACACACACACACACACTCCTTCATAGAATAGGGCAAGTCTACAGAATTCTCTCAGGAAAAATTGCAATATAAAGCAAAGTTCTTTTCACTTACCAGGTACCATGAAATGCCAGCATTAGAAACAGTGGCCAAATCTTGAAAGGATGCTACAATGATCTGTTTACATATCCTCTTGCAATTCCATTTCTTGGAGGACTGCAAACATCCTATGCTGCCAGGCACAGGTGAATCAGTCCCACCAACCAATGCTGGTAACAACAATACAAGCTAAACAACTGAAGACAGAAGCCCTGCTAGCTTCTTTCTGATATCACCGGTATTAGTTTTACTAAACAAATAGAACAGCACAGTCTTCCTACCACTTATTTGGAATGAGGCTTTGTAGAATGAATTATTTCAGGTAAAATGAGCAATTACTTCCTTTTCTTCCTCTCAGACCAAAAATTAAAAGTTTCAAAGTTCTCAGCTTGGGAAAAAAAAAGAGGAAACCACAAAAAAGGAAGTAACCATTTTTTACCAAATACTCAGAAAAAGAAATCCCAAGTGCCCAATGATCACTGTCAGGAAGATGACACATAACAAGAATTATTAACCTGGGGTATGAGAACTTTTAAAAAAAATTTTTGATATTATTTCAAATATATTATATTTGTATTTCAACATAAATGTATTTCAATATAATTGTTTTTCTTTGTAATTCTATGTACTTTACCTTATATATTTAAGAATGGCTTCATCCAAGTCACTGATAAAAGTGCTGAACGGGAAAAGGCCAAGCAGAATTCCACAATAGAGCTCTCTCCATTTGAAAACTAATGCATTAATCAGTATTGTTTAGGTCTGGTGGTTCAATCAGTTCCAAATCTACCTAGTACTACCATCTTGCCTATAGGCCTCTGTCTTGTCCATGAGAATTCTGTGACTGTCAATGATCATCATGACATGGAGGTGGCTCTGGATTTTGGAAGGCTCTGCCAGGGAAATATAAAGTTCTAACATGCTAGAAGGGGTTCTAGAGCAGTGTGCTTTCTGAGGACCAGCCCAGCTAACAAAGTCTAGACTGTCCACTAGATAATGAATTTTTTGATTATAAAAATTCACAAAACAAAGAAAAATAAAAATGTATCTCAGCTCTATATAGCTCCCATCCCTTTCTACAGCGACAGTAGCAGAGTGATGGAAAGAGGGACAAAGGAAATGAACAATCACAATGTCCCGATGGCATATAAATATTAACTTACCTATTGCTAACTAGATGTGAAATAATTGTCCAGTAACCACAAAGTGGACATACTATTGGAGAAGAAAATGAATCATATCATTCTTAACATTCTCACTATAAATGAAATAAGAAGACAGATGAAAGTAGCTGCTAAATGCTGAGATGGCTCCCAGATTCTCCATGGAAAGTTCAAATAGAGAATTTGATGAAGTTATTTTTTACTGAAAATCCCAAAACAATTAAAAAAAATCATTTTCACAGAGCATTTGGTCACTGTGTACTATAGCTTATGATAAGCATTTACCAAAAACAAAACAAAGCCCCAAATAAACAATTTTAGTGCCTATATAATGTAAGGAAAAGAAAGCAAAATAACTAAATCTATAAATAAAAAATTATATCAATATATACTTTAATATTGAGTGACTTTAATGTAAAGGTAGGTATAGAGAAGGACTTCTAAAACTATGTTGGAAAACATCTGGATTGGACCAAATTTAGGCATGCGACATCCATGCTAAAGGTGACAATTTTGAGGGCACTGAGGGATCAACTCTGAAGTTTTTCGAAAGAGGAGAGGAGGCTTGGAAAATGTTAGACTTGACTATCTACCAAAAAAGTGACCAAGAAAATATTGACTGCTGCCCCACATGTCTATTTTTCTATCCTAACCAAATTGTTATGAGTAGTCTACGCCTGTATCAAGGGCAACTATGATTAACGTATAAGAAGGGAAAATGCAAGGTTTTGTTTTGTTTTGTTTTCACAAATGTCATAGCAGACCACTTCACACAATATCACATCTTTAGAGGTACAAGAAAGTACAGAGATCATTTTGTCTAACCCTTATGTTTTTCCAAAGAGGAAAATGAGGCCCCAAGATGTGGCTTGATTAAGGTCATACAGATTAGTAAAATGGTAGAGCTTGTATTTGACCCCAAGTCCTCTGGGTCCAGAACATTATTTTTGTATGCACTGCTTGCCTTTCAAGAGTTATTCAACTAACCGAATGATAATAGCAAATAGAATATGCCACTTTGTTTATTGTTAATAGACCATAAAAAGCATTTGCTTCAGTTAAACAAAACACCACCTTTAAGGCTTAATAAAGTACTTCCCATACATATGTCAACGTTTCTTAAAATTTGTGAAAACAATGTTAAAATTACAAAGATAACTTTGATTACCCCATTATTAAAAAATGTTAAATGAGGCACGAACAGAAAGAGAAACAGAGACAGATAGACACAGAGGCAGGGAGAGAGAGAGAGAGAGAGAGAGAGAGAGAGAGAGAGAGAGAGAGAGAGAGAGAGAGAGAGAGAGAGAGAGAGAGATGTGCTCACTTAAGGTGTTTTAACACCATCATGGACATGCCCAGTGCAGAATCCAAATGGAAAAGATGTTCCTGTTTTCAGATGACATTATGCTGATTGTATCAAGCCCTAGCCTAGAACCTTGAAGAGCTCCCTAAAGGAGATCAATAATTGTGCAAATAAATTTAATCTAATCATCCACACAGGCAAACCAAGTACATGAATAATTCCTATTGTCCAGACTATGCGTGCATTTGGATGGACAACTGGTATAGCAGTATGTATTTTGTGCAAACACGGCAAATGGGCCCATAACTAAACAGGGAGAAAACAGGCTGGATTTCTCTTTGGAAAATTGTACAGTGCTTTTATAAAAACTCCATCTTTTAAACAATATTCTTCCAGTGATGATGGGTGGTAGTGAGACATAGAATACCACAGTATTTGAATAAAATTTCAGGTCATCTAAAGCAATGGTGTCAAACTGAAACAGAAAGGGATCCCAATAGACTGCATATTGAATTATAAAACCATACATTAACATTAACATTATATATTTTGTATTGCATTTTAATTTTTTTAGGCATTCATTTCCCAGGTACATTTTAATCTGGTTTGGGCAGCACTCAGGATGTGTAGAGCCCCTTAGTTTGACACCTCCAATAAAGAGAATGAAGGGGTGGGTACAAAGTGGGAGTTAGCAGGCTGCAAAGTATTATCAATTAATCGATAAACATTTATTATGTCCTACTACGTGCCAGGCACTGTGCTAAGCAGTGGGAATACAAAAAGAGGCAAGAGACAATCCTGCCCTGAAGGAATTCATAATTTAATTTAAACATTACTAAGGAAAGTTTATGTGAAAGAAGTAGTGTAAATGATGTAATCAGAGAAGTGTATGATCATTAAAGAATATGAGTCAGTCACGTGGTGAGAGTGTTTCATTGGTATCCACACAATGTCAATATAACCAGACAAAGGCACTTGGTGCACAGGTAGAATCCTTCAGGGAGATTTACAGGAGGACATGGACAACTATTACACAGGATGAGATGGCATGGATGGATTTTCCTGAAAATAGTAATAGACATCTTGCTAGGATATAACATTCTTATGGAACTTAGCCATGAATCCAGTCTAAAAAGAAATAAGGATGCCTCTAGACTCTTCCACCAAATGCTAGTATCCATAATACTGCCCCAGAGTCCTGCAGAGACCCTGAAAAAGATAAGCCAATGTAAGCAGAGAGCAGAGCACAAGGCAACCCTAGGGGGCTCGGGTCAGCATCCATAAACTGCTAGCAATACTGAGCCTGGCTAAGGGAGAAAGGCTTTAGGCTTAGCCCAGACTGAGGTGGTTCCAAAGCTCTTGGCAGAAGTCTAACATGAAAGGAACCCCAAATGCCAGCAAAATGAAGATAAAGGTCCCAGGCAGAGCCTATTACAGAGAGATCCTGGAGCCCTGTAGCAACAGGGAGCCCCTAAATAAAGCACAGCACCAGACTCTTTTGACGAGGATCCTAATCTTGGCCATTATCCTCAAGACCAGGCAGGCCCTGTCCACATCATTCTGAGCATGGTCCAAACGCAGTATCTGTCCACTCCTCTGACACTCACCAAACCTGAATACTGAAGTTGCTGAGAGGAGCAAGAAAAACTCTGAGTAACATGATAAATACCTTGATTTGAGAGAAGTCCAGGATGCCAGTCTTAAGGAGATTAGTAGCTCCACAAGTCCAGGTAAAGTCTCAGAGACAAAAATATTTTGGCCACAAGGATTACAGGAGTACCTGGAAAAAATGAAACAAGAGATATAAAATGGAATAGCCAGGGGGGAAAATGACAAGGAGAAAGGGTACATTTGAATAGACAGTGGATAACTTCATCCAAGAAACTAATGCCCTAAAAATTAAAGTGGACCAAGCATAAATCAAACATTATTCTTATCAGTGACAACAAGAAATATTAACACAAAGTAAAAAGATTGGGAAAAAATAGAAGAAAATGAAAGGTATCTAATTTTTTAAAACTGATCTCAGAACAAGTTGAGCAACAAGCTAAAATTTTTCAGACTGAAAGTAATGACCAAAATTTTTAAATGAGATACCGTATTTCAATAAATTACAAATTAAAATTTCCCAGGTAGATTTAGAGGCAACCCAGCTAAACTCTTTCAACACTCTCCTCCAAACAACATTAAAATTGTGCCTCAAATCCAATTTTGAAGCAGCAGAGCCAATAAAAGGCTGGGATGAGACATCTTTCCAGCCTAAGAAAATTTAGGAGGTCAGCAGGTAGAGTTTGCGACACCGGAGTGGAAGCCTGTGCTGAGCCCACAGATAGGGTGGCAGCAACAGTAGCTATACCAGCTGCAGCAACTTCAGGAGCTCTCAGGACAGAGATGGTAAGAGGATCACACGTTTGGTGAGAAAGAGATTACAGGAGACCCTTTGCTGGAACTGGGCACAGCTGGCACTGATTGGCAACTCTGTTATCCATATGCAGTTTTGAGTCACAATTTCATGGTGGAGAGGAGTGCTGGGGGTCAGTCACAAGGGAGCAGAGGCTCTGGTTGCAATTCTAAGGCAAAGAAGAGCACTAGCACTTGTGACTGCAGGGAACCAGGGACGCTTCCCTGGGTAAAGACTAGAGGACAGACCAGAAGAGCAGTGACCATGCCTCTCCCCATATCACACCACCTTCAAAGCACCAAAAATTTTCAGACTCCCAGAATTAGTCTGAAAACAACAGCATGAAAAAGTCTAAAGCTTGGCACAGTGCCTCCCCAATGCCCGCTGAACACAACAACAAAGAATTTGGCCATAAAAAGCTACTATGGTGGCAGGGCAGAGCAAAACACAAACTCAGAAAAAGACAACAGTGTAAAAACAGCTAAGAATAAAGCCTAAAGAAAAATGCTAATTGTACCCAAACCCAACAATAATTCCTGGAAGAGTTAAAGAAAGAGATAAGAGTAGTAGAAGAAAAATTGGGAAAATAAATTAGAGTGATGCAAGAAAATTACAAAAAGAGAATTAAATGTTTCATTAAAAAAAGTACCAAAAATACTGAAGAAAATAACACCTTAAAAACAGAATTGGCCTAATAATAAAAGAGGCACAAAAATTAACTGAAGAAAAGAACTCCTCAAAAAGCAAAACAGACCAAATGAAAAAGGAGGTACAAAAATTCACTACAGAAAAGAACTCCTTAAAAAAACAAAATTACTACAATGGAAAAAGAGGTACAAAATATTACTGAAGAAAATAGTTCCTTAAAAATTAGAATTGGGAAGTCAAAGTTAATTACTCCTTAAGACGTGTAAAAACAATAAAACAAAGTCAAAAGAAAATGAAAAAAATAAATGAAAATGTGGAATATCTCACTGGAAGACAACTGACTTGGGAAATAGATCAAGGAGAGATCATTTAATAACTATTGGACTACCCGAAAACTGTGATTAAAGAAAAAAGAGTCTAAATATCTTATTTCAAAAAAATTACCTAAGGAAACTACTCTGATATCTTATATCTAGAGGGTAAAATAAAAATTGAAAGAATCCACCGATCACTTTCTAAAAGATCCCAAAATGAAAAGTCTCATGAATATTATAGCCAAATTCCAGAACTTCCAGGTTAAAGAGAAAATACTTCAAGCAGCCAGAAAGAAACAATTCAAATATTGTGTAGCTACAGCCAGGATCACACAAGATTTAGTAGCATCCACCTTAAAGGAATGGAAGGCTTGGTATATGACATTCCAGAAGGCAAAAGAGCGAGGATTACAATTAAGAATAACCTATCCAAGCAAAGTGGAATACAATCCCTCAGGGGAAAATGTATATTTAATGACATAGAGGACTTTCAAGCATTCCTGATGAAAAAACCAGAGCTGAATAAAAAATTTGACATTCAACCAAAAGACACAAGAGAAACATAAAAAAGTAAACATGAAAGAGTAATCATAATGAACTCAATAAAGTTATGCTGTTTACATTCCTATATAGGAAGATGATACATGTAACTCCTAAGAACTTTATCATTGTTAGGGCAGTTCAAAAAAGTTTACATAGAAAAGGACATTGATGTGAGTTGATTATGTTGGAATCATCTTCAAAATAAAAATGAAGGGGTGAGAAAGAGGGTTGCACTGGGAGAAGAAATAAGGAGGAGGTAGAATAGGGAAAATTTTCTCACATAGGAGAGGCATGCAGGGAAGAATTTTTACAGTGGGGAGGAAAATGTGGGGGTAGGGTAGCAAAGAATTCTTGAACCTCACTCTCACTGGAATTGGTTTAAAGAGGGAAATTATGTACACACACACACACACACACACAGAGTTGTATATAGAAATATAACTTAAACAATAGGGAAATAAGAGAGGAGGAATAATAAAAGGAGGAAAGATTAAGAGAGGCAGTGGTGAGAAGCAAAATAGACTTTTGAGGATGGAGAGAAAAAATAGAGAGGAAGAAACAGAAGAAAAGGGGATGGAGGGAGGGAAAATCATAGTAATCATAACTGTGAATGTGAATGAGATGAGCTCACCCAAAAAAAGGAAGCAAATAACAGAATGGATTAGAAACCAGAATCCAACAGCATATTGTTTACAAGAGACACACTTGAAACAGACAGACACATATAGAGTTAAAATGAAGAGCTGGAGCAGAAACTAATATGCTTCAACTAAACTAGAAAAAGATAGGGGTAGCCACAGTGATCTCAGAAAAAGCAGAAGCAAAAATAGATCTAATTAAGATGGATAATCAGGAAAACTCCATTTTGCTAAAAAGTACCATAGAAAATGAATACCAAAAATTTTCATCCTAAGTTTCTCTCATGAAGGCCTCATTTCTCACATATATATATGTACGTGTGTATATATGTATATATATATATGTATATATATATGCATATATGTATATATATATACACACATACATATGGATAGGTATAGATATATATGAGATATATGTGTATGGAGATATAGATAGATATAGCTATAGATATATATATATGAGAAATAGATAGACATATCTATCTATTTCTCATATATATACTGAATATAGAACTGAGTCAAATTTGTAAAAATAAGAGCCATTCCCCAATTGATAAATTGTCAAAGGATATGAACAGGCAGTTTTCAGAAGAGGAAATCAAAGCTATCTATAGTCATATGAAAAAATGCTCTAAATCATTATTGATTAGAGAAGTACAAATTAAAACAACTCTGAGGTACCACCTCACACCTTTTAGAAATGACACATGCTGGAGGGGATCAGAGGAAAATTGGTATGCTGAGGAACTGCTAGAGAAGTAGTGCACTGGTCCAATAATTCTGGAGAACAATTTGGAACCATGCCCAAAGGGCTATAAAACTGTGCATGCACTTTGATCCAGCAATACCACTACTACTTGTTCTGCATCCCAAAGAAATCAAAGAAAAAGGACCTATATGAACAAAAAACATTTGTAGTGACTCTTTTTGTGGTGGCAAAGAACTGGAAATTGAGGGGATGTCATCAATTGAGGAATGGCTGAAGTTGTGGCCTATGAGTGTCATGGGCTACTATGGTGCTTTCAAAAATGATGAAGGGAATGGTTTCAGAATGACATGTCAAGACCTATATGAACTGATACAAAGTGAAGTGAGAAGAACCAGGAGATTATTGTGCACGGTAACAGCAATATTGTAATGATGATGAACTGTGAAGGACTTGGCTAATCAGATCAATACAATGATCCAAGATAATTCCAAAGGAGTCATGATGAAAAAATGCTATGCATCTCCAGAGAGAGAACTGATGAATGCTGAGTGCAAATCAAAGTATAATTTTCTCACTTTCTTTATTTTTCTTGCTTTTTTGGAAGTATGACTAATATGGAAATACATTTTCCATGATTTCACATGTATAATTGATATCATATTGTGTGCCTTCTCAGAGGGTGTGGGAAGGAGGGACAGAATTTGGAACTCAAATTTTAAAAAAATGATTGTTAAAATTTTTCATGTGTAATTGGGAAATACTTAACAAAATAATTTTAAATGATTTTTAAAATAAAATAACTACAGAAGCTACAAAATATTTAGGAATATATCTAGCAAGATATATCTAGAAACTATGTGAATCCAACTATGAAATACTCTTTGCAGAAATATGAACCTAAATAGAGAAATATTAATTGTTCATGGCTAGGTCAAGAGAATATAAAAATGATAATACTACCTAAATTCATTTATTCATTCAGTGCTATGCCAAAGCACAAGATAAATATGAAGCAAAAAAAAAAGGGGGGTCAAGAATCTGAAGAGAATTACTTTTTTTTTGTTTAATCAGAAAAAGAGAGGTCTATCAGTACCAGATTGAAAAATTGTACTACAATACAGTAATCATTAAAACAATTTGTACTGTTTTAAATCTCAGGTCAATAAGTAGAATTAATTAAGTATACAATATACCTAAATAAAATCACTTAGGTATACAGCATACTGAAGCAAATGAACCTAGTGTTCACTAAACCCAAAGATTCCTGTTCTTGGGATAAGAATTCACAATTTATCAAAAAAAATGATGGGAAATAGGCAGGACCACAGCACTGCAGTGAGCTTCACTTCATAAACTTCTTCAAAGTTATCTAGAAAATGCATCACATCAAATTCTGATGGTGAAGTCTATTACTATCAGAGTGAGTCATTTGTCCAGCCCAGCTCAGCACAGGAAGACTGTTGGGGATGTCTGTGGACACTGGGGATTAATGTCAGGGCAGGAGCATGTCACGTGGACCACTGC